CCTAACCCTAACCTAACCCTAAACCTAACCCTAAACCCTAAACCCTAAACCCTAAACCCTAAACCCTAAACCCTAAACCCTAAACCCTAAACCCTAAACCCTAAACCCTAAACCCTAAACCCTAAACCCTAGAAATCGATAAATCTGAGCGATCTCGGCCGTCGACATTCCTCCAAGAGCTAAGAGCTGCGATAGCTCGGCAAGGCTCCCTCCCTTGCCCCAAGGTCCTCGCTTGGCTCGAAGCTTGAAGGACCGGTCGTGTGCAATGCTGACCTCTGTGGCTCGAAACGATCTGCCGTCTACTCCATCGACTGAGTCTACCGTGAGACCCAGCTCCATAAGCTTCGATTTCAACTTTTCTTCTTGTCGAACAAACATCGAGGATATCCCTAGGAGAGTCATGGAGATGAAGGAGGTCCCCTCGGTGCCTTCGGCCCAGTGCCTATGTATGTCTCGACATTCTGCTTCTTGGCCTCCTCCATCTGTTGAATAAACCATGCTCTCGACTCTGAGCTCCATTCGCTCAGAGAGTCTTCAAACACAGTGACAGGTCGCGTCTCGCCTGCCGACATGTCGAGCGGATGGCTTCAGCGATAGCGTCGGGAGTGCATCCTCCCTCAGCTCTGCAACCATGAGCTGTCCGACTATTCGGATAACGCTTCGCGAAGCTCTTCACCTTCTCGACGAGGTCGGCGGCCTCCACGACGTGGCCTCCTACGCGCCGCAGGGCAGCATGTGCCTCTGACAGGCGCAGCATGTGCCTCTGACAGCGCAGCATGTGCCTCTGACAGCCTAAACCCTAAACCCTAAGGGGCTGCCTGACTGTCACAGTGTGAAAATAACGGCGCTGCCTGAAAATAACGGCGCTCCTATCATCATCATCATCATCATGTGAGTTTATTGAATTGCTAGAATGGTGTTTAAGCCGCTTATCGGCTCTCACATAAACAATCCTAGTCTAAAGAGGCGCGCGAGTACTGGGAGTACACGGCCTAAAGTGCTAACCCTGCTTCTGAGGCCTCTTCCTTCTTTCTACTTCTGCAATCTTCTCTTGGCCCACCCAAGTTTCCTCAGCCTCGGTCGGGAGAGTTGCGGCCTCTCCTCCCCTCTGCCTTCGGTCGCCACCTACTCCTCCTCCGAGTCCGTTTCAGCTTCCTCAGCCTCAGTCAAACCCCTAAACCCTAAACCCTCACAGCGGCCCCTTCCTGTTGCCCCCGGCTCTCAGCCTCCCTTCTCTCCCCACATGTAGTCAGCCGAGGCTGTGGCAGGAAGGCCTTCTCCTAGCATGGCTGGACCTTCTCTTCTTCCCTTCATGTGTCCTATCACTTTGAGCTGCGCCTGCCTCCTTGGTGCCAGGCTCTCCCCGCATGGAGATGGCTTGCCTGTGCATAGTGCCTGCCCCCATGGAGCTAGGTCATCTCTCCTCCCCTTCTTGAAGTCCATAGAATGTGTTGTACTTCCAGCAGTTGCTTGATTGCTGCTGTCTTGATGCCTTCCCATTCCGTGTCTTCCACCCTGAGCTTCCTAAAATTCTCATGACATTCCCTCTCCATGATCGATCCTTTCACTCCTGCTATAAATGTTGCTGTTCCACTTCATGATCAGGCAGCAAAGTGATGAGTTCTGCTCTCAGGGAGGCATATTTCTCTTCCTTTTCCTGAAATTTCTTCCTTAGGCACTCCAGGGTTTAGGGTTTAGTCAAGTTGTCGAAGGTGTGCAGAAAATTTTCGAATGATAAAAAGCAAAAGATTGTGTGAGGAGCACAAGGGGAATAACTAGAAACATCTACATCCTTCAGCCTTGCGTGCTCCTAACCCCTCCCCCTTCTGAAGGGCTCTCACACTGCCACGCGCTTCCTGCCACTGGATGATGTTGAGACAGCAAAGACGACCTGTCGCTCAAACATCAGGAGACATATCAAGGGAAGTGTTTGCGAAGAAACAGTTGGCCTACCTGTCTTGCCTCTCTGTCGGCCTGCTGATATCCAAGCAAGGGATCAGGCCGGTTGCTGATATTATTACAGTCAATATTTTCTTGTGCGTCTAACAACAAGGCAAACCTCATGAGTGAAGAGTCTTCAACCCGCATGGTACTGGCGTTATCTTCAACTGGGCTCTGACGAGCTACGACCTAGCAGAAAGGAACAATCAATAAAGATCACAAACGACCAATGAATAACCTGTATTGCAGCGTCTGCAAACGCATCGGCCCCAGGAATTCCATATGTCATCTTCTTGAAATCCTCCAAACTTGCCTGCACAAACTAGATTCAAACACAGGATTCATGACTTGATTTGAAACCTCAGCCGAGGAAGCTGCTGCCTTCTTCCAGTCTTCAGGGTTCATCGACGCCTTCATCGGCCCAATCTTCTGGCACCAGAACGGAGGATCCTGGCTTTCCGGGAGGTACACAAAGTAGTACAAGAAGAGTGAAACTGATCCTAACATCCAGAGAACCGCAAGAAACGGGATCCCGCTGGTGCAGAAAACTCCACCCGACAGTGCGATAGCGAACATAACAAGAGATGCCCAACCTCGCGTGCATGACCAGCAGCATCCCATGACAAACGTGGTTAAGGTAACTGATCCGACCAACGCTCCAAACCCGACATTCAGGAAGCAGCCTGAGCTTGGCAGTCCAATAACATCCAGGACGTCACAAAGAGGCTTTAGAACGCAGCCCAACCCAACAAATAAGCTGATCATGCTGCCCATAGTCACATAAGGACGCGCAGCTTGCGAATTCGCTTCCTTCCTTTCCAGATCCTTCACTTGCTCATCTTTGTACTCCATCTGACCGCCCTCCATCATCCTCTTTCGGAAATCTTGTTCTCTCACAACCAGAACGACACGGATCTCACTGAAGACTAGCATGGTGACGGCCAAAATGAGAATAAGAAAGCCGAAACCTCCCAGCTTAGCACAGACGAAGTGAAGTTCTTGTGCATGCTAACATACGCTTCAAGAATCGAAGCCGCTTGTTCGGAGTTGAACGATTGCGAAGAAGCCGTACTTGCCCCCTCCATGGTACTCGTCACCACAGGTTGAGGTTTCTCAGCAGAGACAATTGCTGGCTGATCCACTTTACCTTGTGCGACAACATTCGTCCCTACTGCAGCATCAAGACCCTGTACCTTTGGTTTCGAGGAAAACTTGACATTCTTGACTGCATTTTTTCCAACAGGACGATCATGCTGAATCTCATTTCTTCGAAACAGAGCCCATTCTCTGCTAAGATCCTTGTCGCCAGCGAAAGCCTGCTGCTGTTGCTGGGTCCTGAGCATTGAAATACCTTCATACTTGGCCCAGGAACTACTCATGCTTGATGTTGAGTCACCCAGAACAATTGAGACCATCTTCAAACCAAGGAGAGAGAAAAGCAACATAAACTTGACAGATTTTACCATGATGGATCAAAGAGCTTCAGACACGTCAGGTCAAGTTCCTAATAAAAAACGTATGTCAGTTGAGCGAAAGACATTCATTTCTGATGCATGGAACTTGAACGTGTGAATAGTGCAAGCTACAACTGAGAGACTAGGGGACCTCGGCTACATCTGAGAGACTAGAAGGAGAGTTAGACTACATCTGAGAGACTAGGAGGAGAGTTAGGCTACATCTGAGAGACTAGGAGGAGAGTTAGACTACATCTGAGAGACTAGAAGGAGAGTTAGACTACATCTGAGAGACTAGGAGGAGAGTTAGGCTACATCTGAGAGACTAGGAGGAGAGTAAGGCTACATCTGAGAGACTAGGAGGAGAGTTAGACTACATCTGAGAGACTAGGAGGATTCTGCAGGGATCTTGTAAGCTTCCATCTTCACTCCTCTTGTCATACATCGTTAGTACTCACCTTCCAATCCAGCCATGCCCGAAGAGTCACTGTGCAATGGAGGAACGGAAGGGGGTCACATTCACACACAAAAGAGGGGGTAGGGTCTTTTATACCTCATCCCCGCTAAGTCCCACTTGTTCGGAGATACGGGAAAGCAGCAGCAGGGATAAAACATGAAAAGAAAGCAGCGGGAAAGCCACTGGGAAAGCCAGCGGGAAAGCACAGCGGGAAAGGAAATCCTCAGCGGGGAAACATGGCGGGCTCTGAAGCACATTAGACGAGCATGGCGCATAGAAGAGGAGGGGAGGGTGTTCAGATCTGTGTTGCGCTCTCCTCTCTCCTGCTCCTACCGCCATCTTACTTGATTTGCTACCTTCCCTCGTCTTCTCAGCCAATAGAAATCACAAGCAGACGGAGGAAGGACGGGACAGCAAGAGTGAGGGAGGAGGGAAGGGAGGGAGAAGGAGGGACGAAGGGAAGAGGGGAAGGAGGGAAGGATGGAAGAAGGGAAGGATGAAAGGAGGGAAGGAGGGAAGGAGAGACATAGAAGAGACAGACAAAGACAGAGACGGACAGAGAAAGACAGAGAAATATCCGGAGAAGGAAGGGTGCTCAAACTTTTCGAGGAAAATTCTCAGATTTCACTCGCTGTGTCGATAACTCGTAAGCAGCAGCAGTAAGGGCTATGGGTTTGGGGATTGCTATCATGTGAGTAGACTCACTATGTTGCTGCCATCTTGCATTAAGGCACATTCAGCACTTCCAGCTCTAATCACAGAATGCCTAACATTCTGTAGAAAGACCAAGCTTATGTGGTAGAGACAGGGAGAAACACTGGTCGATGTAGACTAGAATCGACACTGTAAATAGGGTAGGGACAAATTGCAACACAATCTATGATCGAAGGAGCCCATTTTTGTGATAGAATCTTTGATCTGATAATCTTGGTATTGTTACAGGCATCGAAACATGTTAAAGCTCCTACTACTCTTGGCTCTCCTGCTCTCATTTGGATTCGCTTCAGCTTCGTCGGCCATTCTCGCAGATTTGGAATTTCCAATGGCCCTCAAGAAAGTTTCGTCGATCCTGTCAAAATCGCTGCAGACCATGTCGTTGAAGCTTCCCTTACTGACATCATGCTTTGTTCAAGGCTCTTCTGAGGAGGTAAAAAGGCGGAATTGTTGATTTATGGACGACTGACCATGATTGAAAGCCGTGGACAAGTGGAGAGATGAGAGTGAAGGTAATGTACTTTTTGGTTCAAAAGACGTTTCTGAATTTCCTTCTAAAAAGATTGAGAGGAGGAAGAGAGAAAATGAACTTTACATTGACTGGCTTCGTCGTCGAGCGACAAAGATCAATGAAGTGGCTGCTCATATATCCAACCGTGTCGCAACCTGAACAAAGTGCAGGAACTGAGCATGACACGATATGACATTGAAGAAACCAAGACAAGGATAATTGAAATGCTGTCTAGCGGTTCCCACAAGCTGTCTATCTCCGAGACACGAAATAGCCTCCACCAGCTGCTGTCAGCCATGGACATGCTGCACAAGAAGGAGAATTTTGAAAGAGACCACCAAGCACAGCTTTTGCAACGCATGAACTCAACTTGTGCCAATTTGACGGTTGAGCTGATCACAACGATGCTGTTCTTGCTGACATGCTTCTAGCGAGCAAACAACGTACTTCAATGCAAATTGGAGGAAGCTAAACGTGCAGAAGAAGAAGTAAGAAGAAACCTGGTGACTCTTTCGCAAGAATTTTCTATTGAAACTTCAAGTGACGCTAATTTTGTTTTTCCAAATGCAGTCTTGGACTGAATTTATCTTGTAGATCGCGAGAATAAGCTGATGGAGCTCAAAGAGCTTGTATCTGATCTTGAGGTAATCGTAGGGCTTCTTCTGTGTACCGATGACTTTGACTTCGAAAGGTAAAACTTGGGGAAGAGACCAAGAAGGCTACAAGCGCCAAGGAGTCTCTAAAGCGTGAAATGGAAACAATCAATGAGATGAAAAAAGAGGCGGACAGCAAGGAAGCTCGCGCTCGTGGGCGCCTGGATAGATTGAGAGTCATATTGCAAGACATGTCTATTGATTCCTTCGAGGAGAAAGTAGGCGAGGCTAAGAAGATTCTTGAAGAGGTGCAAGAGAAGACCACGCGTTGATCTGACTTCTGACTCTTGTTTTCAGTCCCTCACCGCGTGATCTTTTCTGTTTGAACGCCTTTGTTCCATTTCATGTTGAATTCTCCGTGAAGTTCTCATGGCCTCGAGTATTCAAATCTGAAGTAGCGCAAGATGACTTGATGTTCCCTGCATCTCCAAATTGTTCTCGATATTTTTTTCCATCGCAAGTGAATGTGAATGAGTGATTTAATAAATGATTTCAATAACGATTTCAATTGCTCTCTTATTTCAAGAGAGCATCAATTAGACATCACTCAGAATGAACCATTCTAAGCAAACAAAAATTACAACATGAACATTTTGGGTTCGAAGCAAATCTCTCAAATTCATGAGAAGGAATCGCGCGAGTTGTAGCGGAGTTGACGGAGAGAAAAGGGCTAAATTGTGAGATCAAAGGTGATCACGCGGATCGATTGCTACCTTCTTTCACCTCAGCACATCTTCCTGATCTCATATGATCAAAGAAAGATAGACCATCCTGCGAAGAAAGCCCCCGGACCCAATGCTCAATCTCAACTTCACTCTTGCTCGGGTTCTTTCCAAGCGGAATAACATTCCTAGAGAACAAAACGTTCTCGCTCTTTGTCATTCTTGCATCTTTCGAATCAAGCAGCGACAGGGACAGGGACAGATCAAGCATCCTCTCTAGCCAACGGCATTTCCAGTCTTTGAAAACCGCATCAGGCAAGCGCTTGAGAAACTTCGCCCTGGCGATAGGATGGTGATGAATCTTGACGTCTTTGCGAGACGGAGGAAAGGAACACTCCGTCGTTGACAACTTCTCTGTGACATTTCCCATCAGCCGCACACGAGAAGTCTTGCCGAACACAAGTGACGCGGCGGATTCAAACAGCAGCTGATCAACATGATGCAGCACCATATCATCCTCCAACGCAACCTTCCCGTCTAGAAACACCACCATCTCCTCATCATGAACATGCTGCAGCACTGCTCGGCGAGCAAAAGCCTTTCCTCGTCTCACCGTTGCGTTGAGCATCATGGCCTTTTGACTGCAGACCTTGACACTCTGCAGAGCAGCGAGCGCAACCTGAGCCGTCTGGTCGGAGGACTTGTCATCGTACAGAATGACTCGTACGAAGGGAAACACTTGAGAGCAGACAGAGTCAACGACTCGTTTGATGTCACTCTCCACGTTGAATGCGTAGATGAAGACCACGAAGAGAGAGGTTTGTCGGACATAACTCCCAGCCACAGCGTGCAAGTGACTCAGGTTGTGCCCCAGCAGGCCCTCAGCCCCCCACATCTGGGAGGGAGAAGAAGTTTTCAAGTCCCTTCCGAGCCTGAGGAAGGCCTCGTAGAGCGCCATCCTCTCCTTGGCAATCATCTCGTACTGCAGGAACCTCGGCTTCGCGAACTTGTTCATCTCCAGAGGCCCGAGGTTGTCAGAGTCGCGAACTTCCGGGAGAATCACGTTGGGAAAGACCACCGGAGCCCGCCAGCCCGCACACACCATGATCCAGTTCCACAAGGCGTCAGCGGGGATGAGGTACCGCGGGTGCTGGAGGGTCCAGCTGGTCCACTGGTAGAGAAGCTTGATCATGGGGCGCTTGAGCACGATGGAGTAAGTGCCGTAGGTGTAGAGAGTCTGGTCATAGAGCGACGTGTTGCTCATCCCCACCTGGCGTCGAAGATAAGTGTCCCAGGAAGCTGTCTCGGTGAAATAAAATCTGAAGCCCTTCCCTCCCTGCTTGATAGCATGCTTCTGAGTCTGCGTCCAGAACAACTGGTTGGCACCCAGGTAGTACATGGGAGCAAACTGAAGAGCATGCGGGAGAGATCGATTGTTATGCAGGTAGTGAGCAGCGTCATGGATGAAATAGACGTCATCCTCCAGGAGAAGCACCTCGTCGACGTCCTCCCGCAGCAACTTCTCGAACAACTTGAAGTGAGTCATGAGGAGGCCAAGAGCTCCCTTGGAGGGAAAGTTTGGGCCAGGAATGCGGAATTTAAGAACCCTCCAGAGCTCTTGGAAGAGAGATAAGCACTCTTGACTTGCCTTGCAGTCCACTGCGTCGAAGAATTCGAAGTCGGTCAGGCCAATCTCGGACATCTTGTGCCTCATGGAAGCTTTCTTGTCTGCTCGTCGAGGTAAGTTGATGATGATTGTTCTTCGACGCTTCTTCTTGTGCAGAATCGACTCCGATCTTTCAAACTTGCTCCGAGACGCATTGCAGCGATGTAGAATACACATCTTCTCACCATTTTGCTTCAAAATGTTTGCGAGGCTGTTGATCGAAGTCTCGACTTGCAAGGCTAGGTCAATCTGCTGACGATCACAGGCGTTGGGCAGCAAACTTTGCACAACCATATCTTTGGTTGTGTTTCTTCCTGCCTGCACGATAGTAGCGTAGATGTCAGCAGTTTTTCCATGATGCACGATGGAGGTCGCACGACTGCAAATGTGAACGAGCGACAAGGGTCGAAATACGTCCGGCAACGGGTCATGCTCGATCGGCATCAAGAAGATTCTTTGAGCCTTTAACACCCCTACCTCTCGAAGGTTTGGATGCAACGCGTTTTGAACGATGATTGGGAAATCGCCATGAATGCTGCGAAGTCTTTGAGAAACAAGCAACATGCATTCGGTGAAGGAATGAAACTCGTCGCATTCTGTGCCGCTGAGGGAAAGAAAGCAGTGAAAAGGTTTTGATAGCTGCAATCCCATCCCATCCAAGTATCGTGACGAAGCTTTCTGAATCCAACTGCTCATCGTCAAATCAAACCTGACCGGAGCCATGGCGTGTCCCCATGACATATACTTCAACATCACCTGGTTACCCGAGCAAGCATGTATCCTCTTACATACTGCCTTCACAAAATCTTTGTTGGGAAAGAAAGTTTCACTAATCTTCTCCCTCAGCGTGTGAAACTGTTTTCGTGACGCAACCGCATCCTTCATATCCACTTTCACTGCACAAACATTTTTGATTTTTGCCTTCCCAGCACGATAAATGCTCGACGGAAACAAGTGAGACAAGAGAAGCGGGCTGGAAGATTGGTTTGCGTTCACGCGACTTTGATTCATGACGACATAGTCCAGGAGCATCACCCCACAAGCCTTGGCAAGTTCAACGTCATTCAAAGCGATCCACATCCAACCTTCCTTCATGGTCGACGGTTCCCTCAGCGAGATCTCATTAAAGATGACTTTGCCTGTCACTTTCGGTTTCGCTCTTGCTGTCGATATTCGCTGGTTCTGCAGTAGAAAATTTCTTCTCATGAGGCCTTGCTTTTTGGGTAGGTGAGGGACATCAACGATGAAAACTACGTGAAAAGAGGTGTAAACCATGAACAACACAAGAAACGTGCGAATACACATCATATTGATGAATCCCACTTGATTAATATCTTGATTTGACATGTCGCAAAGGAAAAAAACTGAGGACATGTAGATTAATGCGGCCCGCTGAAACTTACGTTGGCTGGCACAGTTAAAAAATTGATGTACCGAAAGGCGATTCGATGGTTTGTCTGCTGTATTTCTGATCTAAATGAAAAAATTCGTGTGAAAGAAAGTTGGTATTCTCCGGGATGACTTTATGGATTAAGATTGCCTTCTTTCTCTCATTCGGTTTCTATCATTCGTCGCTCCCACTTCCACAGGGGAGTTAGTTCGCATGTACCTTTCTCCTTCTTCTCGTTGGCCTTTGTACTATGTCATGTCAGCATTTCTTCTCAGTCGTTTCGCTTCTACTCTGCACCTTCCACCATCAAACGTCCGCTTCGCGATGTTCGATCTCCCTTTCGTATTGGATTCGAAATTCGGGCGATTTAGGTATCAGGGTTTTCCAATCATGGACGAGTAGAGAGCTTCAGCCTGTGCGTCACTGTCTGTCTGCCTATGTCTCTCTGTCTGTGCGCATGACTTGCTCTGCGTCTCTCTGCCTCTCTTGCTGCTCCTCTGCATCATGCGACGCTTCCGTCTCGTACGGCCACCATTGTTGGGGGGATGCCTTGCGTTGGTGGTGGGGTAGTATGGCGGGAGAATGAACGGGTGGCGAAGGAGTTTTACAACACAAGGGGTCCCTTCACAGAGACTTGGAGGGGTGTTGCACGGATGTTGGAAGGACGGGTCTTTTATTGAGTGAATACAGGGGTGTACACATAAGAGGGTGGTTTTGGTCAACTAGGGATCATGTCCCGAAGAGACATGATGGTACAAGGAAGAAGACGCGGAGAAGAGATGGCAGACGTGGGGGGGGGGGGGGGGGGTGACGACATGGCTGCGTTGACGACATGGCAGAGAAGGAGATACTGATGACGTTAATGGAGTGAGGAAGACATTAAGATGGCAAGGATGAAAATGCTGAAAGCGCCACTGCTAGTCGCTTATACGAGCAGTGTGAGGGAATGAAAGTCTACTGACGTCCAGTCTGAGCTAGAAGTGCTGATGTAAATTGAGATGTTAAGAACTATTTAACTGCAAGTCAATAGAGAAAGATATCAGAAGCAAGAGAGTTTTATAATCAGACCCTTTCAAGGAATTTTATTTTAATGGGCCGAGAATCCCTTGTTTGTACATGAGATGAAAAGCAGCAGACAGGATCATTCGTGGTTTCTAAGCTTTCGATGGTGTGTGATGCCTGATGATTTAGACATATCAACTCAAAGTAGGAACAATTGATTTAAACCCCAACAGAATGCGTCTCGGCACCACGTTGCGCTAACAAGTTGATTTAGAGCATGTCCCACCGGAGGGGATAGCATCAATTTGCGTTCAAGGTTTGAAATGATTCTTCACCAGTCGCCTACGTGTGTTTGAGAACTTTTGACAGGGGGATAATGCTTTCTTTGAAATCGTCGTTGCTTCCGCTTTCGTTGCTCTTGAATGCGATCCTGCTCTCCGTCTACTTGCTCCACCGCGGGTGAGTCAGTGTTACAATCCAAGCAGCAAGTTTGGCTGATTGAAGGTGTAGGGGAAGAGCGAGGAACGAGCTCCTTCAGGGCTCGCTGTCGACGGTCTTTCTCTCCCCCTCTTAGTTTGACCGAGCCTCACTGTTGTTGTAGCCTCGACAGGATAGCAGACATGCGAAACGAACTGAGGTGAACTTCAAAGTAGCTCGAAGCGTCTGCTCTGACTCTCATGCTTGCTGTCTGTCTCTGCTACTGCAGCTGGCAGACATGTACACAGCTCCCTTCCATGTCGTCAAGAGCATTATCGACAATGCGCTAGCAATGGACGAGGAGAAGAAAAGCAATGAGGTGCTGTCGGCTGCATGTTGCCAATGCTGCTGATCGATTTGCAGGAGAAATACACACGAAAACATGTTCCGCTTGCGGATGCCAGCAAAGCCTCGCACAATCTTCAGCTCCTTTCCCATCCTGGTCTGCTCGTACGCCCTCCAAATTGCGACCCCGCTGATCTCGGTCACAGTCGACTCTGAGCTCAACGCCTTCTTCGATCCAAGCCTCGATGCTTTCGTGAACCCCATGTTGCTCAAGGATCTCAAGATTATGAATGCCCTCCAGCAAGAACGTGAGCCTCTGAACTGTTGCGTTTTCAACCTTGACATCCGTAAATAGTGACTGCCCGGAAAGAGAAGATGCTTCTTGCCGCAGACAGACAGTTTTCAAATCCGACAAGCGAGGGCGTGAAGGCGAGAAGAACCTGAGCTTGCAGCGCGTCAAAGTCGAAAATGACAATCTTGCGACAGATCTTAGCGTCGAGAAATGAGAAGGGGGCAACCTTTCAATGGGGAACTCGCAACCCGCTGACAGGTATCATCATAGTCTAGATATTCAAGGTGTTGATGGTAGTCTTGTTATGCTGCTGAGTGTGACTATTGCAAAGATGAGGTGGGGAAAGTAGGTTGGTGGAGGGGAAGAAAGGGGATGAGGAAGAGAGATGGTGCGAGGGCTTGAGCTTGTGCTTAAAGAAAACAACAAGGAGCTCAGTGACAAATTTGTGAAGGTGTAATGCGCCTGGACTGCAGCGATAGTCTGATGGACGCTGGGTCCAACGGGGCTCGACCGGATCGTCTCTGGAGCAAGAATCGACCACTCACGGGTTACCCTGATCCTTGTGGACCGGGAGATCCTTGCAGGTGGAAAGAGGAGAAGGCAGGAATCATCGGACAGCACTAGACATGAGAAGACTAGACGATGAGATGAGATTTGACGTGAGAAGAGACGATGGGATGGTCGAGATTCGAGAAAATTTTGACTGTTATGCCTTGTTGCTGATTTTGTTTATCACAAGGGATCCTTGCGCTTACCAGCCATGCAACGTCGGCGAGACTTTCGTCGTTGAATGTCCTCCTGGATGCGCAGTCCGAGCGGGGATGGTGATAGGAGGAGGAACTGTTGACAATCCTTTCATGGGTAGGAGAACGCGAGAGAGGCGCAGCCACTGTTGACGTCTCGCTGCAGATGCTTCCTCAATTTGCTCTGCTGCCCTCACTGCTGGGGTCGGACGGGAGGATGGGAGCTCTTTAATCACGTTGCGCGTCGTTCCAGCTGTGCGAGAGTACGCTGGGGTGCGAGGAGGTCGGAACTGTTGGAGGAAGAGGAGAGGCAGTAACGGGGACGCAGGGGCGAGGAGCGTGACATCCATCGACTACGTTTGGAGAAACTGGAGCCTCGCAGACGACCCGCAGGTGCAGGAGAAGTTTGAGTCTCCCGAATTCGCGTGCTGTGAGGGACGTGGGGGCCGTGCCACAAGCAAACTGGGCGACTACACGCCGATCGCGAAGTTTCGTCAAGGATGGGGAGGCGTCGCGTGGTATGGAGTAAGAGGCTTCGTGCTAGAGGGAGCCGAGGACGAGACGCGTAGTGCTTTCCCTGGGAGAGACTCAAAGAAGCTGGAGAAGCTGCTGGAGCGGGAGGGGCAGACTGAGAGCATGCTGTCAGTCGACGGCACGCGAGGGTCTCACAGCATCGCTAAGGGAGCTGCGGGAGTGCATGGCGGGGGCGTGTGGAAGGCGATGACGGTCGAGGTCTGGGTGAAAGACAAGCTGATGCGCGAGGAAGGAACATACCTCAAGTCGTCGGGCTCTGCTGGGTTCTTCCTGGGGACTGTAGACAAGCAATTTGCGTGGGGGGTGGGAGTGGGAGGCGAAGGCAAAGAAATGGATTTCGTGCTGGCCCCCGACTGGCTGACGCAGCCGAACGAGGGGAAGTGGATCCACCTGGCGGGGACGTATGACGAGGAGGATGGGATGAAACTCTTCATCGACGGCTTGTTTGTGGGCTGCAGCAAGACTCTTTCTGGCCCCATCTCCATCCCAGCTGACTCCCTCGACATCTTTGCTGGAGGCCAGCCGGGCAGCGTCTCGCTGCTGGGAGACCTCAACGAGGTACGCGTGTGGTCGGTGGCGAGGCAGCAGGACGAGATCTTTGCGGGCATGCACAAGACGCTGCAGGAAGTTTTCCTTGGTCCATTCCCAGCTGGCCTTGAGCTGTACTGGAGGTTCGACTTCGACCCCAAGGCTTGTCAGCTGGACTGGCTGCCGTGCGGGGAGACTTGCGATGAAGTTCGCGCGTATCGCATGGACCTGGTGAAGGGCAGCAGCTTTGCTCCCTCATCCTCCCTCGAGATCGAGATGCTGACTGACGCCAAGGGCTGCCGCGCTTGCCCGCCATACCCGTCCGTCGACTTTGCGCGTGTCTCGCCCTCCGGCAACGTTGCTGTGCTTGAGAACGTCACCATCGCATGTGAGCCTCTGTGCCTGGAGGAGGCGGATGCGGATGGAGGAAGCCGCTATCCTGTCTGCCAATGGGACATGACCTACACGCCTGGCATCCGCTGCATCCCCCTCTGCCCTCCTCTCAACCCTGTTCCTCATGGCGTCCTCTCCTCTTCTGAGCTTGTCAGGTCAGGGACGAAAGTCACGCTGACATGCAAGGAAGGCTACGAGCTGGAGCAGGGAGGCATCAGCGAAGCTCAATGCCTTGACACGCATAAGTTTACCTACGCCTCTCTTGGCCCATGCGTAGGCCTCTGTCCTCCTTATCCTCCTGTGCCCAACGCCCAAATTATCCGGAGCTCAACTCGCCATCCTGTTTCGAAGATGAACAATATCGGAGATCAGGTTCTTTTGTCCCCATCTTTCCTCCTACTCCTCCTCCTCCTCTTTCTCCTCCTCCTCCTTCTCCTCTTGCTGTTCAACTTCGCGCTGAGAAGGTGAGAGCAGGTGAAGATCGTGTGCGACCAAGACTATGTGCTGTCTTTTGACTCGAAGGAGGTCGCGACGTGCCTTGAGGTCACAACCAATCGCATCCTCTTGCTTATGACGAGGCGAGCAGGGAGGCATCTACGACTTCTCCTCCCCGCAGTGTCTTCCTGTCTGTCATCCATACCCGTCCGTCCCAAACGGCCTCGTCTCCATCACAGGACCGACAGTCCTAGGCGATGTCGTCGAGATTTCATGCACAAAGGTTGCCTGACGATCCTCTCTCCCTCCCTCCCTCCCTCCCAATTCCCATCCCCATCCCCTCCCCATCCACTTTTTCATAGATCCCTTCCCCACCCCCTTGATGATTCCTCGCGTCTCTCGTTGATCTCAAGGCAGGGTACGTGCTTGAGAACGCTGAGGACGCGACCGCTACCTGTGGTGCTGATCACAATTATGACCATCCACAAGCGAGGTAGGAACCCATACACCAGAGGCTTCACTCCTCCTGCTTCCTGGCACCTCCCTCCCGTCTCTCTCGCCTCCGTCCCTCCTCATTTCCTACCTCCTCTCTCTTCCTCGTATGCTTGCCTTTCTCTGCTCTCTGCATCTCTCCCTCTCCCTCTCCCTCTCCCTCTCCCCTCGTTTCGCCTTCTCCTGACGCCGGGCTGCTCCAGGTGTGTAGCTGCATGTCCAGCCTACCCGGCGGTGGATCACGGGAGGGTGCTGGTGAACGGGGAAGAAGGACGCGACCTGAGCAACATCAGGGAGGGGGACAGCCTGCAAGTGGTTTGTGATGATGGATACGAGCTGGGCGAGTACAGTCAAGGTGAGGCAGCTCCCCTTGCTCGCTGCTCTCACCCTCCTGCTCCCTCCAGCATCCCCTACCGCCAAGTGTATCGCAACAGCAAAGGGAGGAGATTACGACCCTCCGCACTGCCGCCCGGGACTCGCTGCTGCTCCCCCTTACGGCTACAGCAACTGCCAGCCTGCGGTCTGCGTTGAGATCCCCAAACCCCCAGCTCCTCCTCCACCGCCTCCTCCTCCTCCTCCTCCTCCTTCGCCGCTCGACACAGGGGCGTCGCCCTCGAGCTCCGGGGAAGGATCTCCTTCCTGGCTCCTCAACTTGGAATGCGCCAAATGGCGAGACTCAGCCGACACGATGACGTCAAGTGATCAAGAGAAAACTTTATCAAAGGTTTGAAGACAATCCCTGCTCCCCTCCTCTGCTCCCTTCCCACCATCCCTCCTCTCATCTATTCCTCCTCCTGTCCCGTTGATCGCCTCTTGTCACTCCTACGTGTAAATCCGTATTGGCTCGTTCTTTCTCCTTCATCTCAGCCTTCCTCCTCCTGTCTCATCCTCGCTATCTTCTCATGCAGTTTGTAGTGCATGGCGCAAGACTGCGTGCAGAGTCTTGAGAGCGCGGCGGGTCAACAATCGTACGAGGGGTGCAGGTGAGGTTCGAGGGCTTGTGGTTTGGTTGACTTGCAGCGTCAGATTTGTGGATGTCAACGGGTTCTGTTACGCGTCTATGGCAGCCCAGGAATATTGTACAAGCCATCCGGAAGACACGTGAGAATCTCCCTCCCTCCCTCCCTCCCTCCCTCCCTTCCTCCCTCCCTCCCTCTCTCCTTCCCTCCTTCCTTCCCTCCCTCCCTCCTTCCCTCTCTCGGTCTACCCTCATTCTCCATTGATCTGTCGGTTGTCTGCAGTGGCTGCAACGATGGAGGGTCCAGCTGGGCTTATGGTCCCCTTGGTAACTATCAGGGAGGAGGAGCAACCGGCTGGACCCCAGCAGCGCACATCCCATACAAGGGAGATGCAGCGAGCATGGTGAGTGAAACCTCCTTCCTCTTCCTCCCCCCTTCCAGCTCGATATCTTACAACCATGAGAGTTTCGCCCTCTCTCCGCTTATCTTCAGCCTGTCGCTGATGTAGGCTGTTGAAGGGCTTCCAGTCCTGCTCCTGCATGAAGAACTGCGCTTGTAGTGGAACCAAGTGCTTCTGCGTGAATGAGAAGGAGGCGCCAGTTGGAGAAGGAAGTTTCGTTCCCAGCAAGATCATCCAGGGCGACAAGACGGGCCAGTGCTCCTGTTTCTGCTCGCAAGCGGCGGTGAAAGATACGACGAGCAGCGACGTCACGACGGCAAGCTCGGGCAATTCAGGCGTAGTAGCTTCCTCCACCTCCGATGCTCCAGCGATCAATGGCGGGATTGATACAAACTCCATACCTTCTCCCCCTGCTCCTCCCCCTCCTCCCTCTCCCCCTCCCTCCTCGCCTCCCTCCCCGCCTCCCTCCCCACCTCCTCCAGCTGTCACTCAAGAAGACGCCATCGCAAACAGCATCTGCAAGCTCGATGACAACGGAGTCTGCAAGTCGCTGCTCAACATCAGGTGCAGCGACTGGCGAGACCTTGCAGACTCGTGGGTGCCGGACAAGCAGAAACAGTACTATGCCAAGGTAAGCGTGCCCTCTTGCCTCCCCCCCGCCTCGCTCTCTCGTCGTCGTCTTCGTTTCGTCGTCTCG